CCTCTCCCCTCACCCCTCTGATGGAGTCTTGCTCTGTCACCCAGGCTTGAGTGCAGTGGTGCAATCTCAGTTCACTGCAATCTCCACTTAGCAGGTTCAACCGATCCTCCTTCCTCACCTCCCGAGTAGCTGGGATTACAGGTGCCTGCCACCACGCCCGGCTAATTTTTTGTATTTTTTAGTATAGATGGGGTTTCATCATGTTGGCCAGCTGGGTCTCTAACTGACCTTGGGTGATTCACCCGCCTCAGCCTCCCAGAGTGCTGGGATTATAGGCATAAGCCACCTCGCCCAGCCCCAGCTGCTTCTCTTGAGAAGGGACTGGAGAAGAAAAGAGGTTGGAGAATGGCTTCTTCATAGGACTTGGTAACTTACACAGCACTCAGAGCCTCCCTTTTAGTATTTAGCACATTTTACAGATTTTAGCAGATTACTCAAAAGCATGGTTGATTTACAAGCATATTTATGCAATGTAAAAAAAAATATTAACTGATCAATAAGTAAGGTAGTACCTGTGCAGGGTTTAGTCAGTGGCACTACTCAGAGTGTAAGAAACAGAAAATCTTGTCCCTTTTTGTCATTTGGAAGGTTTGCCTTCTGGAAGGTCTATTTTTGGATGTTTACGTAAAAAAGAAAAGCTGCTTATAATTCCTGTACTCTATTACAAATATTTTATATTTCTAATGGAAAATCCTCTTATATTTGCCTTTCAAATTGAACAGACCACTTTTAAAGAGAAAAATTCCAAATAATTTAACTTGAGTTGCTTAGCTTAGGAAGTGTAAGCTTTCTCTATGGCTGCTAAATCATGCTGAGGGCTTCTGATTAGGACCAGGGTCAATGTCAGTCAGCTTTTCTCCATTAACTGGAATCTGATATAAGCCCAGATTGCTTAGTTAAAAGCAGCTTATAAATCTAAACAAGGACTCTGAGACTGAATTCTGTTAGTGATTGTTTCAGATGAGTTGACTTTTTGATAGAACTGAAAATTAATTTTAAAACTTGGATAGTATTTTTAAATGATTCTTTTTCTAACCATTATTCTAGGATACCGACAGGGCTAGGACTCCTAATGGAAGAAAAATAGTTTATTTTTAGAACTAGATCTCTTTCTCCTACATGAAATTTATGGCAATACTAAAAGATTAAAGAAAATAAAAAAAGCCTCCATTTCAGTGACTAAAATGTACAGCTATTTCTCTGTCTTATGGAGTCTTCCTGTTTCTCTTGTTCTCATGGTACTTCTTGCTCCTGACTTTGTGTTCTACTCCAGCTCATGTTGCTGAATAGTTTAAGAAGTACTCCAATAAGAATGTTTGTACTTCTTGTAGCACAGTGTATCATAGCAGTAAAAAATAGTGTTAGGAAGTATAAGGGCCTAACGTGCAAGTGGAAAAGATTTCTAGGGAAAGCAACAGTTGGCAGCATCATCATCTTTCCAAACTCACCAACGTCTTCGTGTGTTTTCTCCTAGCTATCTGCTCTATGCAAGCACTTAGACAATCTATGGGAAGAACATCGTGGCAGCGTGGTCCTGTTTGCCTGGATGCAATTTCTTAAGGAAGAGACCCTAGCATACCTGAATATTGTCTCTCCTTTTGAGCTCAAGATTGGTTCTCAGAAAAAAGTACAGAGAAGGACAGCTCAAGCCTCTCCCAACACAGAGCTAGATTTTGGAGGAGCTGCTGGATCTGATGTAGACCAAGAGGAAATTGTGGATGAGAGAGCTGTGCAGGATGTGGAATCATTGTCAAATCTGATCCAGGAAATCTTGGACTTTGATCAAGCTCAGCAGATAAAATGCTTTAATAGTAAATTGTTCCTGTGCAATATCTGTTTCTGTGAGAAGCTGGGTAGTGAATGCATGTACTTCTTGGAGTGCAGGCATGTGTACTGCAAAGCCTGTCTGAAGGACTACTTTGAAATCCAGATCAGAGATGGCCAGGTTCAGTGCCTCAACTGCCCAGAACCAAAGTGCCCTTCGGTGGCCACTCCTGGTCAGGTAACTGTTTATACCCTGCTGATGGGTGCCTCTTAATTCTCTTCCACAAATGGAGATATCTTCTTGGGAACTTCATTGATAGGGTTTATGAGGCAGTCTGAGGCCTTGGAGCCAGCCCACAAGTTGTTTCACTGTATCCATTAAGAATTCTGTTGTCTTAGTCTACTGCTTAAGCAAATGGAATGCTTCCTTTGGCCTTGCAATGGGCAAGGATGAGTGTTAAAGTAGTTATTAAATAACTGTGGTAATTTACTTTGTATATCTGCTAGGATCCCATGAACTTTGGGGAATCACTAGCTTATCCTTGTGTGAGGTTGGGATTTGAAGGGGACATCTCTTGAATGATTAACCGACTTTTTTACAGACTTTAGCGTAAGTACAGCCTACTTAGGTTTTTTGTTGTTGTCGTTTTGTTTTGTTTTTTTGAGACAGAGTCTTGCTGTGTCACCCAGGCTGGAGTGCAGCGGCGCCATTTCAGCTCATTGCAGCCTCTGCCTCCCGGGCTCAAGTGATTCTCCTGCCTCAGCCTCCTGAGTAGCTGAGATTACAGGCACCCGCCACCATGCCTGGCTAATTTTTTTTTTTTTTTTTGTATTTTTAGTAGCAATAGGGTTTCACCATATTGGCCAGGCTGATCTTGAACTCCTGACCTCAAGTGATTCTCCCACCTTGGCCTCCCAAAGTGCTGGGATTACAGGCGTGAGCCACTGCACCCGGTCAGTTTTTTGTTTTCTTATTAAAGCATAATTTTACTTAAAATAAGCTACACATTTAAATCATACAAGGCTAGCATGGTAGCTTATACCTATAATACCAGCACTTTGGGAGGCCAAGATAGGACGCTTGAAACTAGGGGTTTAAAACCAGCCTATACAAAATAGCATGACTCCATGTCTTAAAAAAAAGTCAGTCAGGCATGATGGCAAATGCCTGTTGTCTTAGCTACTTGGGAAGCTGAGGTAGAGAATCACTTGAGCCCAGGAGTTCAAGGCTGCAATGAGCTGTGATTGCACCACTGCACTCCAGTCCTGACGACAGAGCAAGACCCCATCTCTAAAGAAATAAAACTAAAATATAAAATAAATTGTACACTTTTCTTAGTTTTAACAAACTATATGTGTAGTATATATTGCCATCTCAGTCAATATATATACTTGGTTTGATTTTGAAGTGAAAGAGAGGTTTTCGTTTATGTGCCCATCTGTTTTACGCTATCATCCTAAGAATCTTCTTAGGTTCAGAACTGGTTGTGGAATCATCAAACCTATGGTGTTTTGTATTTCCCTCTAGGTCAAAGAGCTAGTAGAAGCAGAGTTATTTGCCCGTTATGACCGCCTTCTCCTCCAGTCCACCTTGGACCTGATGGCAGATGTGGTATACTGCCCCCGCCCATGCTGCCAGCTGCCTGTGATGCAGGAGCCTGGCTGCACCATGGGTATCTGCTCCAGCTGCAATTTTGCCTTCTGTACCTTGTGCAGGTTGACCTACCATGGGGTCTCTCCATGTAAGGTGACTGCAGGTATGTTTTAACTATGTGAACCCATACCCCATCCCCAATCTCTCCCCGACATCTCACTCCCCTCCCAGCGCCTTATGACATCATTCTTCAATTTGGAAGTCTTCATCCAACAGATATTTCTGTGTCAGTGACTGTTCTAGGCTCTGGGACTGTAGTAGTGACCAAAAGAGACAAAAATCTCTGCCCTTATGGAACTTACATACTACTAGCGGAGACAGGAAAACAAAATAAGGATATCAGGTGGTGTAAGTGCTGAGGAGCCAGAAGAAATAAAGCAAGGATAGGATATGAAATGTTCTGAAGGGGAAGGGACTTGGGATTTTAGTTACAGAAGCCAGGGGAGGTCTCACTGGCAAAATGGTTTAAGTAAAGGGTTGAAGGAGGTAAGAAAAACCATGCAGATATCAGGGAGGAACATTCCAGAAGGAATGGCACAGCAAACTCTATGAACATGGAATAATGTAGATCCTGGATGGCAAATGCAGGGCATCTAAGCTGCCATTCTTGTCTCCATGGCACATGTGTTTGACCAGTCATCAAATGCTTTCTCCTTGAGCCCAGAGAAGCCTCAGAATCTTCCTCAACATGGCACCTCAGAAGACTACCCTCTGATGAAATAGACATAGAAGGGAAACGTGTTTGTCATCTCCAGCCGAGATAAGGAATCATAAATCAGGTCCTTAATGTCGATTTAACTGGACTTTGGTGGCTTAGTCTTTCTCAGACGAACAGGGATGATGATAACAGCTACTTCACAAAATTGCAGCTGGAGCAGATAACAGTAACTATGCAGGGTTATTTTAAGGATAAAGGGAACTAATATAGTGCTATTCAAAATTGTTAAATTTGTTATACTGGTCTATAATAAGATACAGAAATTGAGAGGGTTAGAAACTTTTGACAGTGGAGAAAAAAAAATGGTTCTTTATCATAAATAGTTTGAGAAACAGTGGGATAATACATGTAAAATGCAAAATGGGGCCAGGCACAATGGCTCACCTCTGTAATCTCAGCACTTTGGCAAGCCAAGGCAGGGCGTTGCTTGAGTCCTGGAGTTTGACACCGTGGCAAAACCCTGTCTCTACAAAAAAATATAAAAATTAATGGGATGTGGTAATGCACACCTGTAGTCCCAGGCACTCAGGTTACTGAGGTGGGAGGATCACTTGACCCCAGGAGGTAGAGGTTGTGGTGAACCAGATTGCACCATTGCACTCCAGCCTAGGAGACAGAGTGGGATCAAAAAAAAAAAAAAGTAATTATTAATACTATTATTATTGTAGTTATTACTTGCTAGTGTTAGCAGAGTGTCATTATTTCCAAGAAAGTACCCTGAGTGGAAAGAGTGGATAGGTAATTTCAGTTGCATCAGCCAGCATCTTGTAGGTAGGCCTCTTCATTATCAAATGGTTAATGGTGCTGACTTAGTGGAAAATGTCTTTCAACCTTTGTGTCTTTTAGATAAGTCAGTCTTTAACTGTATACTTCCAGTTGCATCAACATCACCACCTTGTTGATGGCAGAACGGCCCTTTTTCTTCTCGCCACCCTTCTTTGCGGGAGCCATTCTGTCTGGTCCGAGTTGGAAAAAAAAGTGCCATTTTAAGTTATTTTTAGTAACCATTAGTAAAAGTTAATTTTCCATTTCACTTTCTAGAGAAATTAATGGACTTACGAAATGAATACCTGCAAGCAGATGAGTCCAATAAAAGATTTTTGGAACAAAGGTATGGTAAGAGGGTGATTCAGAAGGCACTGGAAGAGCTGGAAAGTAAAGAGTGGCTAGAGAAGAACTCTAAGAACTGCCCATGTTGTGGAACTCCCATAGAGGTAAATGTTTTAGGACAGAGTTGGAGGCCATCAGCCTTGCAAGCATGTTATGATTACCTTAAGAAGCCTTATTAGTCACTTTTATGACTTAGAAAACACATGCTGGTATTTTTACACTTTCTTACTTGGAAGATGGAAATTTCACTACTAAATATTGTTATCAACCTTAAATGTATGTAGACTTCCCTTTTCCAAGTATTTTCTTACAGCGACCTTTGTTCTCACATTGTATCCACCTCAAAAGTGAATGGGTTTTAAGAAGAGCATACTAGAGCTATGGTCAATTCTTACTTCATCTATGTGATTAAAAAATAAATCAAATCTGATCTCTCAGAACTACCCTGGAATGCTGTACACCGGTTTAATTAAGATATACTCAGGAATTTATCTGAGCCAAAATAATTAGACAAATCTATTGCTTCTTAACAAAAATCTTAATATATTTTAAAATCAAAATACATCTTTGCATTTGATTCTATCGTTCTGTCTGAGCTGAACCTAGTGGTGATACCTATTATTCCATTGAGGAAACTGGCACTATATATAATCACTTTTTTTTTTTTTTTTTTTT